GGTGGTTTAATCTATTAATAAATTAGACTTTTAATTTTAATTAAATTTAAACCATATGATTATGGATTTATTAATTTTCTCTTTTAATTAAACATTTAATTAATTTAATAAAATCAATAAAGGTGTAATTTGAACTATTCAAAAACATTAAGGTTCTAAATATAAAAAAACAAAATTAAAACTATTTAATTAATTTTTAAGTTACGAAACCAAGGGTTGCACCTTTTGAATCCTTTTCAATTACTAGGGTTCTGGAATTTAATGTTTCATAAATGAGACTTTTCAATTCCAAAACTTGAGGGCAAGTTTTGAAACTCTTCAAAACCTTTTGAATTCCAAAACTTGAGGGCAAGTTTTGAAACTCTTTAAAACCATTTAGATCAAATTTTAAACTAATAAAATAATCATATAATTTTATCTTTTACCAATTTGACCTAATTCAATTCATATAGCAAGATAATTTCAAATCAAATAATACAAATAATTAGTTTATCATATAAACTAGTAATTATCTTAGAATTTTGACAATTTATCTTTTGATTGGATGAGGATAGTCACTACCATATCAGAAATAACAGATTTTATGATACAAAACAGTCTATGGCAATGATCCTAATCCAATTGTGGCCAAAAAAACACGAAAATTTGCCAACGGACTGTCCAACTCGTCGAGTCTGGAAATGGACTCGTCGAGTTCATCATGAACTCGTCGAGTTCCATTATGGACTCGTCGAGTTCAGCCTGCAGATGTCATATTTCAGTTTGCTCCAGCTTTGAACAATTAACCAATGCATCTATATATAACAGAAAACACCCTATGTTTTGATACCACTGATGGGTTTTGAGCATTATAACATCCTTATGGTGCACATACTACAACCCTAATGCTTTGGATCTAAGTTTTCTCAAGTTATACATGCAATAAAATTATCCAAAGCATGAAACCTACAACTAGCATACAACTTTGATATTTAAAACAAAAAAAAAGTTAGATGAATACCTCTTTGTTGTAGCTTGTAAAACTTGACCTTTCAAGAGCTTAGCACCTCAAATGTGATGCCTCAAATGAGTCACAAACACTACCAAGTATGGAGGATAATGAGAGAGAGAGAGAGAGAGAGGCTAGGAGGCATACAAAACGGCTAGAGTTCTTCTTGGAACTCTTAGGGGCCTTTTTGGTGATGCTAGGGGTTACATTTATAGTGTGGAATTCCTAGGGTTTCACTTGTAAACCCTAATTCACTTTCTTGGGCCTTTAGTGCAATAATCCATATGATAAGCCCTTTGGACTAACTCTTCATGGACTCCCACATAAAATTAGTCCATCCTAATCAACATGGATCATTAGCCCAAAATATATGTATTACTGATTTACTTAATCAGTCCCCGTGAATTTAATCAGTCTCTTTTGATCACTAAATTATTTCCAAATTAATTCTTGACCAATACCAATTAAATAATATGATTTCTAAATTAATATATTATTCTTATAATATATTAATAAATCACAAATAACCTCTTTCTCAAATATCCATCCTATCAAATTGCTCCGGTGAAGGCAACCCAAAAGGACCATGTTACTATCGGGTCAAGTACATACCAATTATAGTTATGGGCTTAGACACCTAATCCAACAACTTTATGGCTTAAGACTCTTTTAAGAGCTTGGATCTAAGTTTTGGACGTTAGAGCTTAATGGATTAAGACATGGGAGCATGTTTGGGTTAACTAACCAGTACGCCATGCGTACTCCTATGTACGTTGTGTGTACTGGGCCAATGCCCCGTTTCCAGATCATCAGCGTACATCGGGCGTACGAGCCATGTACGTCGCACGTACGCAATCGGTTGGGCTTAAGGAATTTTGGGCTTAAGTTTTGTTGGGATTTTTGCCTTGTCTAGGTTTGGGCATCGGGCCTTTATGTAGTAGCAAGGCATTTATGGGCTTTAGGTCATTTTAGGATCTCTTAGGCCTATATTGGGCCTTAGGGTCTTTTAGTTGGGCTTGGAATGCCTTTTGAGCTGGTGTGAATTTCGGCCTTGGTAAGGTAAGCCCAATAAGGCAATGGTTAAGCAACCTTTGTCTTTAAGTCAAGGTTTAGGGTTTAGAATCTCGGGTTAGACTATTAACCTAATTCCTAATTGGGGTTTTATACTTGTGATCTAGTGAGAGGATTTTGCGAGTCAGCAACCCGAGTGTGATTTGATATCTTCAGTCTGAGGTGAGTTTCCTTCATTGTGTCTTGGGTCGAAGGCACCAATGTCAGCCCACTAGTTTATACTTGTAGTGTGATGATGGTCTTCGTGATAATCATATGTTATGCTTGTGTTTGTTTGATGTCTCTATGATTCTTTCATTATGATATTATGTGGTAGTGGTTTGGGGTGAAATAGACCCGGTATCCGGTTGAAATAGACCGAAGGGGGTCGCAAGCACCCAGATATGCTTGACAGTATCCGGATGAAATAAACGAAGGGGATTGCAAGCACCCAGATATGTTTGGCTGTATCCGGTTGAAATAGACTGAAGGGGACTGTAAGCACCTAGATATGTTTGACTGTATGTTTGTATGTTATGGGGTATTTTTGGGGAACTCACTAAGCTTTATGCTTACGGTTTTCAGTTTATGTTTAAGGTACTGCCAGTTCGAAGGGGAAGGGCCCGGCCTGATTGCACCACATCACCCTATGATTTCCGCATTTTGAGATTTTGGGAATTTGTACTCTGATAATATGTTGCTATGATACACTTTTGACTGATTTGATATGAGTATCGTATGTTTTAAATGATTTTTAAAATGTTTTAAATGATTTTTAAAATTAAAAAAAAAACAAACAAACAAAAAAAAACAAAAAATTTATCTATAATTTTGGAATGTTACAAGCGCCTTTATAAAATGAATTCTCTTTTTTCTTAATCACATTTCATCCCACATCGACAATGGAATTGAAATCAGTGCCTTTTGGTGCTTATATAATATTGATTCATACTTGACTTACCTCAAAGGAATCCAAACTTGTTGTATCTGGAACCGAACCGGGAACTAAGAAACCAAACCCATTGGTTTTGGGTTGTGTTTTAATTTTTTGAAAACCGACAACTCGGTTTTAGGTACGGTTTTACCCTAAAACCGATCCAACTTGGCTCATGCTCGCCTCTAATTACTATTGTTTTGAAACAAGTTTAACTCATTCCAATGGTCGGTCAACATTGATATCATACATTGCAATCCATGAGCATCAACACAAATGAACAATTAACTCCATGACTCTAATCTAGAGCCTAAATTTGAATTCAAAACTTTAACTACAAGCTAGATTACATGACCTTAGAGCTTAAGTACAAGCATCTAAAGCACATTGAAACATAATGAAAGTTTCAACACCTCTAAACAAATTTCTTACCAGATGGAACACACACGTTTCTTAAAGATCATTCATGTTTGAGCTGATAACATCTAAGGTCGATATATGTCGGAAATCCATAATTAAAATCAAAATGTAAACCTATATCAGAAACTTGTTAACTTTTAAGAGAGGTTTATCTAGTTGCATTGAAGATGGATACTAGGACCCACCTTTTTTAAAAAAACATAGTATAGTTTATGTATGAAAAAAATTAAGAACTATTTTATAATTTTTTAAAGACCTACCTTATAAACTTTGTCGAAAGAAAAATGGATCAAAATATATAAAACCTATAGTTTATATTTCAGTTCATTTAAAATAACTCAATGACTCAATCCACTTAAAATTTAATCATCAGAAAATAGCACAGTTTATTTAAAATTAAACAAAAAAAGGAAAAAATAACAAAAAAATGTTTGAAATGTGAAATGCCACTTGGGTTGAGACGTGATTAACATCTCTAAAGTATCATATAATGTTGCCCTGGTAATCGCTCCCACCCGGTCATCAGTTTCTCCCTATGTCGTTTGCCATCCGACCATCGCCAGGCCGCCGCCGATCTGCCAGGTGCCAGCCCGCCACTAGTATTATTTACTCCCTCGTTTTTTTTGTTTCACTTACATAAATAACCACGTAGTTTTTAGTTCTAGATTTGTTACTTTGTCACTGACTTTTAATTCATTATATATATATATATATATATATATATATATATATATATATATATATATATATATATTAAATCCAAAGGAGCTTAGGAATAGTACATTTTTAGGCTTTAAAATTTTGCCACAAAAGTTTACTGAATTTGACACTTTTAGTCCCTAAAGTCAAATTTTTTACATTTTTGCCTTTTAATTAAGTTTTTGTGCCTTAAGGTTTTTGCCACAAATCTTTAATGACTTTGACACTTTTAGTCCTTGCAGTCAAAGGTTTTACATTTTGGTGTTTTTGCCACAAATCTTTAATGAATTTGACAATTTTCGTCCTTGTAGTCAAAACTTTTACATTTTGACATAAAAAACACAGAAAACTTCTTTTAAAATTTTGCCACTATATTTTCCCAACTTTGACAACTTTAACATAATTGCCACAACATATTTGGATTTTCTCCACCAATGTCCCTTCTTTTCGTTGTACACTTTTGACATCTAATTTTAGGGGTTGTCGACTTTCTCCCCTATTTATGGTGATTTACAATTTCAGCACATATTTTTTAAACTTAACCGATTTTTTCCATATTACCCGAAAAAAGGCGTAGCTGCGGGTTCTTTACTAGTTTTAATTCATTTGGCATGGGCCCAAATATGTATCATCTCCGTTCCCAACTCAACATCTTCCGAAACCTTTCTGTCGCGTGTTCACATTTTTACATCTACAATGCCACCACCTACACTAAAACTAGTCTTTTATAACCGATTATTAAGTTATGATTATTCAATATCAAAAATTCTAGTGTTTGCAATTTTTACATGGCACATCCTAAAATAAATTACAACGATGCATTATAACTAATAAAAACTAAGAAATTATAAACATCACAGTTCCAACAACATATATGATTTATGTTTAAAGATGGACAGTCTTGTACGTTCACACCGAGATTGGCTCAGCCAATGCCTCCGGTGGAGCTCCATTGCTACCGTTAAGAACAGTAACATTACCGTCAGAATCAACATCAACAATTACGGAATCGCCCTCCTTGATATCACGGGCAAGCATCTTTTCCGCCATGCTGTCTTCTAGAAGCCTCATGATTGCGCGTCTCAGGGGTCTCGCACCATAGCTAGGGTTATACCCTTCCTCCACAACCCGATCCCTAAACCTCTCAGTCACTTGAAGCTCAATGTCTTTACCCTTCAACCTCTCGAAAACTTCCTTCAACATTATATCAGCAATCTCTTTGACCTCGAGTTTAGTCAACTGCCTGAACACAATCATTTCGTCTAATCTGTTCAAGAATTCCGGCCGGAAATACTGCTTTAGTTCCTCCGTGACTAAACTCTTGATTCTATTGTAACTGCTGTCCTTTTCATCGTAGTCAAGGTCAAACCCGATCCTCCGCCCACCTTTCTCGATTACACTGCTTCCGACGTTTGATGTCATGATTAGAAGCGTGTTCTTAAAGTCAACCGTTCTTCCTTTACTATCGGTCAACCTTCCGTCTTCAAGGATTTGAAGCATCATGTTGAAGACATCGGGATGAGCTTTTTCGATTTCGTCGAACAGGACAACGGTATAGGGGCGTCGGCGGACCGCTTCGGTCAGCTGACCGCCTTCGGTGTAGCCGACGTAACCGGGAGGGGAGCCGATGAGCTTTGAGACGGTGTGGCGTTCCATGAACTCACTCATGTCGAGGCGAATCATGGCTTCTTCTGAGCCGAAGTAGTACGCGGCTAACGCTTTCGCGAGTTCGGATTTCCCGACACCGGTGGGACCGGAGAAAATGAAACTCGCGATGGGGCGGTTGGGGTTTTTTAGACCGACACGGGCGCGGCGGATGGCGCGGCTAATGGCTTTGACCGCTTCGTCTTGACCGATGATTCGCGTGTGAAGCGTCTCTTCCATTTTGAGGAGACGGTCGGATTCATCGGTCGAGACTTTCTCGACCGGGATCCCTGTCCATGACGAGACAATGTGTTGGATGTCTGCTTCGGTCACGGTGGGGCCCTCCTCTCCCGCCTCGGTCTCCGCCTTGCTCATCTCTTTGTTCTTATCCACAAGAGCTGATATCTGTGTCTTAAGGTCCATTTCTCGATCGCGTAACTCACCAGCCTTTTCGAAGTCTTGACCACGGACAGCTTCGTTTTTCTCTTTTGTTATTTGTCTAAGTTCTTTCTCCAGCTCTCTGGCTTCTTCTGGAAGCTGGTAAAAAAACATAGATCATTGATTATCGATCCATGGGGTCAAAGATGATAAAAATACTTATAGACAAGAAAAAAGACGTACTTGTGCATGACGAAGTCGGACACGTGAACCGGCTTCATCGATTAAATCAATAGCTTTATCGGGAAGAAAGCGGTCGCTATTGATACATGAAAACAAAAGCATAAGAGATTATATTTTTAATGAAGTTATATAACATATGACAATATGCAATACCTTATGTACTGATATGACAAGTGGGCAGCAGCTACTAACGCTTCATCAGTGTATCGGAGCTTGTGGTGGATCTCATATCGTTCTCGGAGCCCCTTTAAAATCTGTATAGTCTCATCGACTGTTGGCTCGGGCACTTTTACAGGCTGGAATCGTCTCTCTAATGCAGGGTCCTTCTCAATGTGTTTTCGGTATTCATCGAGGGTTGTAGCACCAATACACTGCAAGTTTCGGATAAAGATATCAGAAATAAATTTAAAAAAAAATGTCTATAACCCTTGCATTAGATTTCACTTGCCTGCAATTCACCTCTAGCAAGAGCTGGCTTCAAGATGTTAGCAGCATCAATAGCCCCCTCTGCAGCTCCTGCTCCAATTAAAGTATGGACCTCGTCAATAAAGAGTATAATTTCATCACTTTGTTTGATTTCTTCCATCAGCTTCTTCAATCTCTCCTCAAACTCTCCACGATACTTTGTCCCAGCAACAAGTAGACCCATGTCTAGAGTAATCACCTGAAAATATACCAACACAAATTAACCTTTTAATTAGAAACAAAAAAATGAAAATTTGAACTTGCAACCCACCTTCTTCCCCCCTCAAGTGTTTCTGGAACATCCCCATTTGCAATTCTTTGGGCAAGACCTTCTGCAATAGCAGTCTTTCCAACACCAGGTTCTCCAATGAGGCAGGGATTGTTTTTTGTACGTCTTCCCAGAATTTGAGTAACTCTTTCAATTTGTGGCTGCCTTCCAACAACAGGATCCAACTTACCCTGCAAAATGGAAGAAATAATTAAAATAAAAATAAAAAAACAAACTCAGTGATTTAGTTAAATAAATCACTTTCATATTAAACACAAGTTACCTCTTCTGCTAGCTTTGTCAAATTGGTACCATATTCCTCTAGAGTTGGCATCTTGTTTCCAGAGCTTCCACCACCAACTCCAGCACCCACAGCTTCTGCACTCTCCCCAACCATTCTAATCACCTATTCAACAAGTCCAAACATCGCACATAAGACAAGGGTATTTTCGTCACATGAAAAATAAAGCTAACCACACTTGCCTGTGTGCGAATGTTATTTGGGTCAGCACCTAAATTCTCAAGAACACGAGCTGCTACACCTTCACCTTCACGAAGCAAACCAAGAAGCAAGTGCTCTGATCCAATATAATTATGACCTAAAAGATTCCATGGAGGACAAATTAACATTATTAACATTTCAACATCATGCATGTTGTTTTTTTTTTTTATTACCTAGTTGTCGGGCCTCCTCTAGGGATAGTTCAAGAACACGCTTTGCACGAGGTGTAAATGGAATCTCAACAGCAACAAATCCACTACCTCTACCAATAATTTTTTCTACTTCAGCACGTGCATCTTTTAAATTAATTCCCATTGACTTCAAAACCTTTGCTGCTATACCAGTGCCCTCACCAATAAGACCTAATAAAATCTGCTCTGTGCCTACAAAATTATGACCAAGGCGTCTTGCCTCCTCTTGTGCAAGCATAATAACTTTGATAGCTTTTTCTGTAAAGCGTTCAAACATGGCCTTTGGCACGATTCTTGAAGCCTTTCCTTTTCCTCTCCTAACAGAGGTGGCTACTGCTACCTTTGAGTGGAAATCATGGCTTCTGTTGACCATGTTGTCTAATGCGTTGACTCCATGTAAACCAGAGAAAGTCCTCACCCTCATTGGAGGAGATTGTAAGCTACACATCATTTTGACTGGTCTTTTTGCATTTCCAGATCTCTTTGAATGGATCCCGCTTTCACTGGAAAGTGAAGGAAAGCTGGTAGATTGCACCAGAGCCCCCGCCATGATTGCAACACTATTAAGTCTGATGATTGGTACATGAGGTCAAAACATTTATACAAATAAGCATGAAATTCAGTTGGAAAGTCAAGAGATTAAGATTTATCACAGGAAGCCAAGTTCAAAGCAAATCCAATTTCCTTAAAAATCAATGCATTTAGCATATGAGTTTTTTTTTTTTTTTGTATAAAAACTGAATTAAGCATGCCATTGGGATTACTGTCGAATGTTCAAACAAGCATTAAGTGGCTTAATAACTCAGTTAGGTGAAACATTTGAGATAAAACTTCCTGGTGTATGAGCAATATGACACTACACTACAGGCTTCCGATTATGGGAATAAATTTCCTTCTAAAATGAGTATTTGATAATGCTACTATGTAGAGGTTAGAATGCTTTATTAAGTAGCAATTGCAAAAATCAATTAAAATAATAAACCCAATTGTCCCCAGTATGTGCAGAAGCAATCTAGGTATAAGCATATTTTCTTTGGGAAGCTAAACTGTTTAATACAGCTACACCTTATCACAATCGCCCAAACTAACAGACCACAGCAAAGTTGTGAACAGTCTCGAGGCATAAGAAAACTAACAACATAATCAAGAAATAATCAATTTTTCCCTCTGAATTAGAATAGCAAAATACTCTGAACAAAAACAGCCCATCAACACAAGCATTGAACAACATATTTCATACAAAAACCTTTAATAGCTAATCAACATAACCAACAACCAACAAGTTTACATGCTAAAAGTTCGGATTCGGCACTGAAATGACGAAATTATCAATCACACACTTCTTCGAATAACACCAATCAGTTCATTCACACAGCTTCAAAAACACAGAAATCCAAATCCATTCAACAAAGCCAAGTACATCATCGCCATAATTGATATAAATTGTAATCGAAACCCTAAAATAGTACTGAACATATACAGATAGATATGCCAAACACAAAATAAAAATAAATAAAAACAAAACAAACAATTAAGATTTAGATTATGTACCAAAATCACTTGAACGAGATAGGAGAAATTCGTGTTTCGTTTGGAAGCGAAGATTCTGATAATCGGCTGCTGGAGATCCGCCGGATTGAAGAAATGTGGATGATAACAGGAGGTGGGTCTATATCTTCTTCTCCAAACTATCTCGCATATTTGATTATTTCGACACGCAATTCCACCCGGTGTAAAACGAGGATAAAATCACTTAGAATGCTATCGTTACGGTGCTGCTCTGGTAATATTGCATCACATCCGTTGGTTTATATGGAAAAAATCATAAATTTGCAAAAATATCATATATATGTCCAGCTTAATTGTTTAATATCATACTTACCTTTCATAAACATTCAAAATATCATATTTGCCCAAATCATTTTTTATAATGTTTTTAATATTTTATAATCATTTTTTATACCGTAGAATTATTATAATAATTAAAAATTTTAATCATATTATCCTTACGTCTATGATAACGGAATGTGAACTTCTAAATTGTTGGAATGTCGCCCTCTTGACAAACAAATAGATTCATTTTCAACCCTCTCTATGGAGTGTATATTTTGATTGTTTAGTTTTTGTTGTTGTTGATATTTTGATGTTTAAAAAATACATATACGATATTTTGATATTTAAGAAGGACATATATGATATTTTGATGTTTAAAAAGGACATATATGATATTTTGAAATTTTATGAAGGGTAAATATGATATTTAGAAATTTTATGAAGGGTAAATGTGATATTTAAAAATTAAGTTGGGTAAATATGATATTTTTATGTTTAAGAAGGGCATATATGAAATTATCCCTTAAAAAATAAGAGAGGGCACACCAACCCCACACCTCTCCTTCTTCTGTTCTCCCCACACCTACCAACCCCACACCATCGGAAACATCCCTAGAATAACAGTCCAAACCCTAGTTTCTAGAATTTATGTAAAAGTTTGAATCCATAAACAACCAGAACACATTTCCCTTCGTCTATTCAAGCTATTACGGCTTCTCCATGTCCTGATTTGTAATTGTAACGTTCGGCTGAGTTCAAAACATTACCAAATGGAGAATACCAACCTGCAACAATGGCCATTTTGTTGAAACTTGCAGATGAGACAAGACATCTATGGTGTCACACCCCAAAACCAAAATGGCGGAAACGTTCTGGGGTGGAGGACGTCATGTGTAGCATCACAACCAATGAATAATAGCAATCATAGCAACACAACCATTACAGTGAATACTTTAATGAAAATGTTTACATCAGTCTGAAACTTTGTCTGAAACTTGTTTGAATTACATCAAATAGTTTTGTAAAGTATAAACATAAAACTCTTATTGCTCCAGCTTCTCAAAAATCCAGCAAGTACATGTCTACTGATTTCCTGAGAATACAAGCAGTTTTAAAAAATATCAGCATAAAGTTGGTGAGTTCATAAGCGGTATTTTGTAATGAAAACTTGATGAGCTCGTAAAGGTGTTCGTATAGTTTCAAGAAAATCCGATATTTTCTTTAATGAAAATGTAGTGTTTGCAATTCTGTATAAAACCATGAATAACTGTATGTTTCCAAGAAAATCCGATATTTTCTTTAGTGAGAATGCAGTGTTTGCAAATCCTGTATAAAACCATGAATGTTCGTTACTGAAAACTATAGCGATATGCGAAAATGATACTTCATGTGACTAGTTAATGCTAATCATGATGTATAAGAATTTCGTTCGTGAAACCTTTGTATGAGCGTTTCTGTTTGAGAACTCGGGGTGTTCTCCAGTGGTAGTGTGTATTAGTCCTATTTAGTAAAATAAAACCATTGAAGAATGACCGTTTGTAAACCAAGAGTGATTTATACATATTGTGAGTCGTATAACCATACTTAATATGACTAGAGACCTTTCCAATGTTCTTCAGGCGTCGAGTTAAATGACATTTGTACACCCTAGACGTGCCCGCCTAACTGTAGCTAGCAGTTCAGGTGTGGGATTGGAATAGATCTATTCACAAATCTCACGCTCTCCCTCCAGGAGACTCTGGTTATACTATGATAGAATTTATCCATGTACACCTAAGGGTACAGTATTGAAGTAGCGCCTCACAGTATCGTACAATCTAGTTTAAATGTAGTGTAGTAGCGTTCTACCATAGTGAAAATATGTATGTATACCGTATGTAGTGATAATTACAGTTATGAATACAATGATAAAGTGGTGATGTAAACTGTAAACTATTTATGTCTTAGTGCATATGTTTAGTAGTGAAAGTTTCTGTACTTGTTATGTTTAGAAAATCCCAAACTATACTGATTATAGTTTGCATGTATAACGTAGTGAATAGCGAGTCCGGAAAACTATGCAATTTTAGTGAAAACGTCCCTTATGCTCAACACAGTACAAAATGGTTAAAGTATGAGAATTGCATGAGTTTTATATTTGTTAAAACATTTACATTTAGCTTGTATTCCCCCCCCCCCCCCGGCAACGGCGCCAAAATTTGGTGGTTATCGAGGCCAACAAAATTAATAACCCTAAATCTTTTACACTAAAATAGTGTATAGTGGTAAAGGGGTCGATCCACTGAGATTGGTTCAATTTATAACTCTATGGGAAATCTCTTTGCAAAAGTACTTGTAAAATGACAATAAAATAAAAATGGGGGTTTTGATCTTTTTGAAATACTTAAATTAAAACTAGAATTAAACTAGAACTTAAATGAACAATTTGGCAAAAATAAGAATTTGATGTGAAATCAATAAGAGAAAGAAGGTTGACTTAAGGTTTCCTCACTTTGACTTTTGATGAACATATCATTAGAATCCAATGGTGCAATACTTGATTTAAATCCTTAATTTGGCTATAGTAATCCAAGAAGCTTGAGATTACCTAGACTTTTCTTGGTTGTTAAAATGGTTAGAGAAGCTCATAACAATTTCCTTAGTCAAAGTCACAATTTCCATTAAGCATGTAATTAGTGAAAGTCAACTAGCATTAAGAACCAAAAAGTCACCAAATCCAAGAGGGGTCAAATGCTTTCACTACCATGTTGGAGAAAATGTTTTTATGATTGTGTGAAGCAAAACCAACACAAAAATCATTTGTTGCTTGCTAATTTGAGGATCCTTTACTTAATCAAGAAATCAGCCAACTAATCACCACAAACACATTTAAACTCATGAATAAAAACATACAAGTAGTGATAAGATGTTAAAACACAAAACATTCCCATAAAGATTTAAGAACATGTTCATGGATTCTTCAACATTCAACAAAAGTTCAAAGGATTCAACAAAAGTCAACCAAGATTAGTTTAGCCAAGCATGGCTAAACTCAAAGAAACAAAGTTGGAGAAGATTGTACCAAACATTAAACAAGAATCAATAGGTGAAAAGATGATGCTCTTGAGGTGTTCTTGGCCTTCAAAAATCTTCAAAACTCCAGAGAGAATGCTCAAAAATCGGATGTCTAAGAGTTGAGAAAAGTGGTACACCAAACTTCCTCATATAGATCAAAACAAGAATTTCCGGAACTGCCCCTGCAGGGGGTTGCGCGACCCGCGTGCTGTTGCGCGGGTGGGTTGCGCGGGTGGTCCCTGGATGTAGCATCTTTGAGGTTTGGGCCTCCATAGCTTAGCCCACTTGGCCCAGTTCGAGTCCAAACAGCTTCTAGCCCATTTTTCTTTAATTTCACTTCATTTTAAGCCCAATTTGGCTTCTCCAAATGATCCATAGCTTCCATAATCGTCCAATCATCAATCTCCGCACGCTCGAATATTCTCCCGCATCTTGCAATTTTAAAGTTTATTTCTCTCCAAGCCTTCAAATAATCATCAAGCTCACTCCATGCATCATCTCCACTACTATAAAGCCCAATATCCTTGACATCCTCTAAGTCCAATCGCTTCCTAAAGATCCCACTCCGCTAATCTCCTTAAAATCTACAATTAAGCTTACAAAACTAGAAAGTACCCGAAATGGTCATAAAATAACAAAAAGGAAAATATGCATGGAAATTAA